TAGGAGCAAGGACGCTACTAGGGGTTCCTGGCATCGCTACTAGGAGCGAGGACGCTACTAGATAGTATATACCCATCATCCTTTGAGCTCTTCGGTCGGCTAAAGCCGCTTTCGGAGGGCACCGAGCGACGAGCGACGCAGCGACGCCCTCGAGACGTGATCATCCCAGGCGGCACGACGGGTGGGAAGCACGATGAACTCGGACATGTTGGACATGTGAGCAGCGGACAAAATTACTTGTGAAGCCAAATACCATTGGACATGATTATTGTTTTTGGTGGAGCCCATATCGGTTTATGGTCATGCCGTGACTAAATAAGTCAACCAATAATTTTGTCCGTCGCTCATGTGGCTGTGGGTCGCATTGGGGGGGCCCTGGTTGACTACGGAAAATGAACAGAAAAGATTACGTAGGAGGTCAATCTACCAAGGGTTTTGGGCTCCGGGTTTTGACCCACAGCCATGTCGATCTTTTCAAAGGGATCACAGGATCGATTTGAAGATTCGAACAATTTCTGAGGGATTCGGTTGTCGCACGTGGCTCGCGGCTCAGCCTGAGTGAGAACATCCTCGCTGAGGGAAAGGTCCTGACATCTTCGGCACCGCAGGACTGCACGTCCCCTCGACCCCGTTCGGTCACGCTGGAGTCATACTGCACGGCCTCGCCCTTTCGGATTCCCTGTTCAACCGGTGAATCAATGACTTGTTGGGCCGTCTTGCGGAGTCCCAATTGACACTCCTGCGGTGACAAAAAGGGGAGAACCGTGCTGTGAAGGAATCACGTACTGTCGATGTCTTGAAACCCTTTTTGGGGATTGACCCACTACCACTACCTACTCCTACTACATACTACCTACTAACTACTATATAAATAGACACTACTAACAACTAACTACCACTACGCCACTACGCCTACCCCTACTACTTTTGGTGGGCTTGACTCTATTCAGTCTCCCTCGATTGTTTGCTTGGAGATGTTTTTCTTGCTACTTAAGCTCCAACATTATTGGCTTTCTTCCGCAACCCACAGGCCCTTCACGACTTCATGTTCAACACGTGAATCAAACCGGAGAAACCCGCGAATCAATGGGTGGCCCCACTGCGGGTGAAATCAAGGAAAAGGAATGACAAACCTAGTAAGAAAGTCTCAATCAATGTTTCTATTTCCGTGGCAGGACATGGTGCCCTGAAAACCATGTTACCCTGCTGAAAGCATAAGACACAAGCACAATATTACATATTGGCATAGGAGTGTAGGGCACAGGCACTGCAAAACGTCCCTTTACCAGTATGCACAGTATGCTCAATCGCACCCAATAAAGGGCCCCCGTGAGCAACCACTGATGCGACCGTGTCTATCTGCTGCTTATGACCCTAGTATAAGGTCGGTCTCTCAACTCAACAAAGGTCGCTCAGCTCCGTCTTGTTGCCATTTAGACCATCGACACCGGGACTCCAACCCACCCACAAAGCATTGAATCTAGTAGTTCTTTCCTGAGTGCCAAATAGTGCCTATGTGGGCAAGCAGCGAGCAGTGATTGACCAGTTGGTCCTAGTCCTCGTTGGAACCCATACATTTGCCTGTCCGCGGCTTTGACCAACTTCCAAGCCCCACTCCGATGTATAAATCTCCTTCATCAGATGCAACTTGGCGGTTGTATCCTCGTACCATGGGCTGGACTTCCACGAGGCCGATGCCAGTGGCCGAAAGAGAAATCGTATCATGACATAAACAAACGTATGAACTAGTTGATGGCTTACAATTGTATGAACTATAAATGTAAGTGAATAGTTGACATGACATATATAAACGTATCATAACGTATCAAATAGTTGCCATCAATGTGGTACAGGAAAGAACATATGCAGCCCGGTCGTTCGTCGTCGGATTGCCAGGCGCAGCGTGGTCGGAGACCGGAAGCGACCATTGGATGACAAACAATGATCCAAACATCTCAAACCATGTTAGAATGCCCAAGTAGTGTAGCTAAAAAAGGCACCTCGAATCTCCAAGTACCCATACATATATATATATATGCTACCTCCCCCCCAAAAAAAACAACGTTTTCAGACAATTTTTTTGCTTGTATGTGAGAGTTGTCTTTTCTGTAGATGGTCCATCCCGTCCACCCTCGATCCCCAAAAATAAAGTTATTCATTTATTTTTGGCCGCCAGGAAGTACAAATTAATTTCAAATAACTCTTGACCACCAATTTTAATCTATATTAACTGGTGGGGCTATCGGCTAGCATATATTACTATGTTGGATGGTTTTTATATTATAGAAATTTCTCATGTAAAATATAAAAGCCATTAAATATGTTGACCATTAATTTCCTCCACAAGCATTCTTCATTACCAAACAAAAAGGCTGCCGTCAATAATTTAATGGTCAACCAATAATAAAATACTAGCCTTGCAATTGACCGGGCATCAATATTTAAATAAAATAATGCCCTCATGATTATAGATTAAAGAAATAGATTAAAAGATACCATGAATTTTAAAGAATGAAAAGATATAAAATTCATGGGCATCATCCAAGAACCACAAAAAAACATAAATAAATGGTGGGCATTCTACCTTTATAGTTCTAGAAAATACCATGAAAGATAGAATGCTTCTTGGATGATTTGTTCCTTGGCAGTTAATGGTCAATAATTCTTTGTAATAGACGGTTATCTGTAAAAGCCATTAACTGCCATATCTTTCATTATTCGTTCATTCCCTTTATTTTATTCGCCATTAAAATAAAGGATCATTCACTTTCTTTAATTCTTTCTTATAATTCAATGAGCCATTTTTCTTTTATATTAAATGGGCGGTCAATGGCTAGTTCTTTATATTTTATGGATCATGCACCATTATTTTATTATTCGTGATCGCGGTTGTCTTTTCTTTACTGGTGACTCTAGGCCCTGTAAAATAATGGTGCATAAAATACAAATAAATAGGCTTTGAATTTTCTTAGTAATCAATGACTGTTCTATAAATTCTAAGCCAAACATTAAGATGTAGAAGCCTAGCCGATAACCTGCCTTTCACAATTAAAAAAAAGAGGCATCATGAAATATAAAGGAATGAAAAACATGAATGATCACAATTAAAATTAAGGGAAAATAAGTGAATAAGATATAAGTTTAACGGTGAGAATGAATAATAGAAAGAATCCATAAGATACAGATAAGAAGATAACAATAATGTAATGTCAAGATACGACCATAAGATAGAAAGTTGTCTACAGGAAATTAACCACCTATCCAAATAAAAGAAAAATGAAGAAGAAACCAGAAGCACAAATAAAAACCATTAAATCTATTGCTGAAACATATTATAATATAGAATGAAAGACTTCTCGTAAAGTAAAGTCAGATGAAGATAGAAGTAAATAATAAAATGAATCCTGCATTTTTATTTGGCACAGCTTTTAACATAGCATATTGGCATAAGAAATACCATTCAGGTACTATATGTAAAGGAGTAAGTAATCCACATGCTTCTAATGCATTATCTGGATGTGAGAAAGAAGAGAAACCGAAATGAATTTGAAGAAGATATAGATAGAGAATTAATATCTTTCCATAGAAATCTTTACTAATAATGAAAGGGAAAAATACTATTTTATTATTAGTGGAATTACTTAATGGATTATTAGAAGATAGAAAATGTAGATTAAAAATATGATAAAGAAGAAAACCACAAAGAAGAAATGAAAATAGAAAATGAAAGACAAAGAACCTCTTCAACGTAAGATTGTAAACATAATCCCCTCCACAAAGCCATTCTATAATAGATGGAAATGGAGTTAGTAAATTAAAAAAACTAGTAGTTACTGTAGCACACCATAAACTCATTTGCCCTAAAGGTAAGACATAACCCATAAATGTTGCTGCCATTGATAAGAAGATAATAATAATTCCAGAAAACCAAGTATTGGCATTATGGGGCCTCTGGGGGTGTATAAATTGTTGTTTTTTTTGAGCCTGCCAAGGAATTTGCTATTTTTTGTCTACCCCACCTTGCAAAAACACTGGCAGGTTCAAAAAAAGCAAAAGCCCATAATCACAAAACCCTGGCAGCCTCAAAACAATCAAAGCAAAACAAAAGTTTTGGCATCTATGGGTGCTCTGGGGGGTCCATAATTTTTTGATTTTTTTGAGCCTGCCAAGGAATTTGCTTTTTTATATACATCACCTTGCAAAAACACTGGCAGGCTCAAAAAAATCAAAAAGCAAAAGCCCATAATCACAAAACCCTGGCAGGCTCAAATTTTTGGCATTTATGGGGGCTCTGGGGGGTGCATATTTTTTTTGATTTTTTTGAGCCTGCCAAGGAAATTGCTATTTTTTATATACACCACCTTGCAAAAACACTGGCAGGCTCAAAAAAATGAAAAAATCAAAAGCCCATAATCACAAAACCATGGCAGGCTCAAAAACTATTTAAAAAAAAACAAAATTGTTGGCATCTAGGGGGCTCTGGGCGGTGCATAAATTTTTGATTTTTTTGAGCCTGCCAAGGAATTTGCTATTTTTTTTACATACACCACGTTGCAAAACACAGGCAGGCTCAAAAAAAGCAAAAATTTATACACCCCCAGGCCCCCCATAGATCCTAAAACTTTTGTTTTTTTACTTTTTTGAGCCTGCCAGGGTTTTGTGACCAGGGCCTTTTGAAATTTTTGATTTTTTTGAGCGTGCCAGTGTTTTTTCAATTTTTGGTCTACCCCACCTTTGCAAAAATGCTGGCAGGCTCAAAAAAAGCAAAAAAATATACCCCCCCAAGCCCCCATAAATACTAAAATTTTGTTTTTTTATTTGTTTGAGCCTGCCAGGGTTTTGTGACTATGGCCTTTGATTCTTTTTTTGAGCCTGCCAGTGTTTTTGCAAGTTTTGGTCTACCCCACCTTGCAAAAATGCTGGCAGGCTCAAAAAATCACACATTTATACCACCAGTATATCGTTTATATTAAGTATATATTTGATCAGATGTAGGAGGATGTTCATTTAGCCTTTTGATCAGACGCCATATGCACATTGCAGATTCAGATTTGTTGGTACCCCCCCACCTCCCCTATTTGTCTGAAAGTGTTGTTTTTTTTGGGGGGGTACCATATATATATATATATATCACATTGATATTAATCTCCAATATGACACATGACTCAGGTACATGTCCGCCCACTCTTTCGGGTCAAACCTCTCATATGCCATCTCTCCATATCTCTCCCGTCTTTTCATCCCATCAGGAACCGGTCCAGCAGGTTGATGGCCACCACATAGTGCTGATCTGGATCACCTGACCGCACTAAAGGACACGTTCCAAGGAACTCGAACTCGTTGAAGCAAGGAACTCCGCACGTGTTCGTCCAAACGAGTTCAGCGCAGGAAGATTCGTCACGAAATGGCTGTTTGAACGTGTGATGCCATGGGTTTCGGATTGTCATCGACCCACAAAGGTTTCATTGCAATATGATGTTGTTTGTTTGAAAAAGACCGACTGATATCGACTGTCTTAGGTGTAGCGTACTATATACACTAAAAATGTAATATACTATAAGACTGCTGTGTATGCAATTCCAAAGTATCTAAGAAGTGATCGACGAACATATTGGATAATATATGATAATATTGGATGTCCTATAGGCTTTGTGGTGGCCTAAGTCTGAAACCATTCTTCTTTTAGAAAACTGCTCATTGGATCTTCGTGCGTGATATAGCCACAGTTGTCCCACGTTTCGCCAGTTTCTTGTTACTTCCGTTGTGCAAGATCACTATGCAATGCATACAACAACACTAGCTAGCTTGTCCAAAAGCAAAAGTGCAACACATGATATTTGCCAAACAATAGATTTCCCCTGTTTCTCAAATAAAGCTTCGTCCACGCCTCCTTCCTCCTTCCGAACAGAAACAACATGAAACTGTGTTCAGTGAACCTTCAAGCGGCAGGACCTTCAACGCCAGCATTGAATAGAATTCCCACCGTCTTCCATCGATATCTTTATTCCATCTATTCTTGTGTCGGTTTCTGACTTCTGCCAGGCTGCTACTCCGGGCCTCGGACGCGAAGCGAGGAGCCAACACGGCTTGGGACACTAGAAATTTGAGAAGCCAATGCCTCAAAACTTTGCCCCAAAGGTTTGTCTACACAAAAATTGATGCAAAACATTTGTTGTTTGGTGGAAAAGGATGAACAAAGAGTCCTTATTGCCAGTCCGCACCGGTGATTGGGCGGATGATGAGTCGTAGACAGGCCAGGTACCGTCGATCAGTCTGTGGGACTCACTGTTCTTCCCAAAAGAAGAATGTGCCGCACCAACACCAGCAAAAGGAACAGCAACAGTTACACATCCCCAACTCCACTGTTTTTGCGTCTGTTGCGCTTCCGAGGTGCGGCGAAGAACTCTGCTTGGCCGCGAGGGAGTGTGAAGGTCTCCTGCAGCACCTTGTCACCAAGGCTGACCTGCACAAGTTCGCAACGTTTATTTTTCCATCCAACAAGTGACAAATTAGTGTGGATAAGGGTTCTTGCGGTGAGTGTGTCAGGCTGGGTTTGAATGAGGGTGCTCGCATCCATGTCCAGCCAACTCGCTGCTATTTATGGCGCACGCATGCCTCTCAAGATCTTCGAAGTGCCTTTCGACTGCGCAGGCTCGCTGAAACTTAAAGGCTGCTGCTTTCTTTGACTGCGCTCTCGTTGTCTTCGGACGTCGTGTTCACTTTGTGCTTTGGTGGTCTGAAATCGACTCTTCGTAGGCGCGGCGCGCCAGCACTTGGGCCTGGTGGTGGTCTTTGGCGTGCTCTGATTTCGTGGCAGGTGCAGTGAATCGGTGAATCGCGCACATTGGACATGTGGCTCTTTTCACAAATTGGGAAACCTATTGCGCGTAAACTTCGTTTTGGACTTTCAATCACGTCTTTGGATACGCCACTGTTGCGAAACACACTTAGGTCGAGAGCTCTTGCCGCGTTGCCAGATTCGAGCGCTCGAACCTTGACCTTGGAAACGGCCCTGTGAAGAACGGAAAGGTGAAAGGGCCCGCTGAGCAGTATTGCTCAAATCACATGGGTGAAACACATGCAGGTGCACGGATTAGCATCCCAATCCGCTGCACTATCCGACTGTCAAGCTGTCTTCGTTGGCAGCAGAACGGTGGACTCCTTGCTGCCCAAAAAGGACGAGCGTTGAATTAAGAAAGAGTGTGTGAATCCCTTGAAAACAGGGGCTGACACACACAGACACACACACACACACACACGCAGGCACTGGCAGGGCTGCTCGATGTGAAACTTGATGTGCAGACTTCGTGGCAAAACCCGAATTAACTTGTAAATTTTGAAGTGCCGATTTCATGGCAAACAAAGAAGTTTGTGAACCTCGAAGTGCAGATTTCATGGCAAACCCTAAACTATGTAAACCTCAAAGTGAGATTTCATTTGGCCCGTGACAGCCCCTTAAGTTCGCCGGTTATTTGCCTACTTTTCTACTATTTGCAATCAAGTAATAGGCCGATGAACGTGAGCATGAGCGGGGCGGGGCCGGCGTGTTCCTGTTATGAAGGACTCTGGTGAGAGGTGGGCGATGTCACTCAGCCGTCACATTGCCAAAAAACGGCCGCTTCCTTAAGATTTGTCTACTTTTTCTCTCGGGAAAAGCGGTGCCCCAGGCTTTGGTCCCGGGTTCGACTCCCCCCTGCGCGTCCCGGAGCCAGTCTGGGGATTAAAGCCAGGCACGTCGCATGGTACCGCGCGTGCGCTTAGCCCGGCGGCACGCGGTACCACACGGTGTGCTTGGCTTCAACCCACACTGCCTGGTTTTCTGGGGAGTAGAAGCTACTAGAATGTGGGGGACCACAAGTCCCATCTCATCACAGCGCTTTGAAATGTTTTACACGTAGAACCTGTGATCTTCATGTCATTTCCTCAGCTCTTCAGGGATCCGCGCGCTTGCTTCAGCCAAACGGGACAGTGCTCCAACCCGCTTGCTGCAGTTATTGAGCATGTCTTTTTTTTGGAACTGAACAAGATCCTTCAAACACTCCTCATGGAAGTGGCTCACAGCACATGCACGAGGTCTGGGGCACCTCTCCCCCCTCTCAGGGTCGGCGGCCGCAGCGAAATCGGGCGCTCCCTCCTACCGGAGGTAGGGGTCTCCTCGTGCGTTCCCACCTCTATCGGAGGCACCTGGAACCTCGTAGGCCACCAGGGAGAGCAGATGCATTTTTGTCGAAATTTGTCAAAATATGTTGCTGGATGTGAAATCGTTTTCAAGGGCCCGTGGTGCGAGATATGCTGCCAGAGTCGCCTTGCACTATTAGCACTTTGTGCTTCTGCTTGCTCTCCTTCTCTTCCTGTTCCAGAGAAAAAGACAGGGAAAGAGGAAGAGAAAGCGGAAGATAAAGAGACAGCAGCAGAGGAGGAAGAGAAAGAAAAAACAAAAATAGAAAATGGAAGGGACAGAGAAAGATAAAGAGGACGAGAACGGGCAGAGAAAGAGAAAATGGAAGAGAAAGAGAAAGAGAACAACCAAAGAGAAAAAGGAAGAGCGGGAGAAGAGAAAGAGCAAGAGAAAGAGAATGGAACAAACATATAGATAAAATATGACAAAATGGAAGAGAAAAAGAAAGAGGAATCAGGAAGCGAAAGAGAAAGAAAAGAGCAAGCCTGCTTGCCTGCATCTGCCCTGCACGCCTGCTCGGCCCGCTCGTAGGCGTAAGCCTTGAAATACGGTGGTTTGAGAGTGGATGGCACAAACCCCAAGATGTCTTTTAGATGGGGGTCTAAACATCCTTTCGGGGTTTGTGCCATCTACTCTCAATCCACTATAACAGCTTTGCAACGTTTGTGCCATGCGTAGATTTTAAATCATCTCAAACCAAGTGAACACAAGTGAAAACTGTCTCATCAGGTGGGAATCCCAATGGAACGTATGTTGTCCAAAGCACCAACAACCCCGGTCCTCCCTAGTTCACCCCTGACATCCACTTTTGATCAAACAACCCCCCTTGACATAGACACCCTGCTGACAAGAATATCCAAACAGCACAAGGATGCTTTCCTGGGGGTCCCCGGATTCCATTCGGACCAATGAACAGCACGCCACAGCCCCGACCTCACTGAACAATGACCTGAACCTCTTTTGCTGTGCGGCAGGCAACAGCGACACAAGCCTTGGCGTCTGATTTCACAGGAATCCCGTGCACTGGCACAAACGAAGGAATCTAAGGAATCTGTATCTGAGCACAGCGACAGTAGATAAGTCTATTTTACACAGCTGATCAAGACTCAAGCCTTTGAAGGTTTTGGAGACTCTAAACCCGAAGTATAAGTAACACAGTTCCCGTCTTATATTGAATGCAAATGGATTGATGTCAAACCACCCAGTATCTGAGTGTCTGATTTTGATAAATCATTCATCGATCATGCTGGCATGGCAAGTCTTGCTTCAGAGTAGAAATTTGTCAACAAATATCAACTGTCTCTTCACACAACTGTAAAACAGTAGCAGAAACCTGCATCGCTAGGCGACAGGCTGTTCTCTGTTGGGGATCGCGAGTTCCCACAGAAAGGGTTGGTTCTTTGCTGAGCAAAACCGGAGTTTCACCGATTCCAGTCTGGGCAAAATCCCCTCTCTCCCTGTTGCTCTGGAGATCTCCATCGTGCAGTAGCTCCTCGGGAAGGCCCTTGCTACGTGCTCCATCAGTGCTCCTCTTCGCCAAGACACGGAACCGCTTCCATCTCCTCGGTACACTTGGTGACGGTCCCGGAAGGTCGGCGCGACCCGTTCCGTGTGGGCTCTGCCAGCTACCCCGTTGAACGAAAAATACACAAACAAACAAGCATGCATGTGCAGGGTGTCGTTGGCCTCCATGATGAAAAGCGGATTCCAGGTGCACTTGCTGAACTTTCTCCATCTAGGTTTGTGTGGGCCGGGCTGGGAAACCAAAGCTCATCAGGCAAAGTGAGATGTTCACCTCGTCAAGCCAGGGTCATTCCTTGGAACATCAAGCACACTTCATTAGGAAGCTTTTTGGGAGACGGTCGCTGATCCAAATGCCCCCCCTTCAAACCTCCACCTCCACGGTTTATCGCGCTGTCCGATTCTGGCCTGCATGAAGAAAGCCTGGAGATAAGGGGATTGTTCCAAGGTATACCTGCCACGAAAGGCACCAGGCTTGTAGGCCAAACCCGAATCACCACATCTCGTGCTTCGGTAAATCCTGCACCAAGAATGGCAAAGGAATATGAAGGGATCTGCAAGCGGGTAGCGCGCCTTTTCCAGCCTAAAAGGGGCTATGTTCGTGAACAAGTTCAAGCTGTACGTGATGCATATAAAGCCTTGCACCCCACTTGAAAAGGCGGGTGTCTTTCTCGGCTTTTCACAAAGGGCTTTCATCCCTCTGTGGCCCAGGGAATGCTTGGAAAGCCGACTCCCGGGCAGGATTTGCAACTCCTCAGTTGCAGATATGGCCTGCTGCGTTGCTGCAGTCGAGGACAGGTGGAATCTACATGAAACACTTCTCTGCCCTCCAGGATGTAAACTTCCGAAAAGCGCCCAGTGTTCCTTTCACACTGGATGGCCACATCTTTGCTCTCGGGCCGCGCCGGCTTGAAGCTCAAGCCCCCACTCAAGGCAAGGTGCCTTCCCACCATGCGAAAGCACCACCACAAAGCCGTGCCCTGCATGACCAGCAAAATGCCAAAGGCCACTGCAAGGTCCGTGAAGATCCAATCAAATCCCCACTTTGATGCTTCTGTATTGGGCTCCTCAGTCCTCACTCCCTCAGCGCTTTGCAAGAGAGTCAGCATGGCCATGACAAGGGCCTGCTTGCTGAACCCGCTGAGGGCGATGGCGTTGATGCTCTCAACATGCTTCTTGCTCTCCTGCTCGTAGGCTGTCTCCTCCTTCAGCCCGATGCCCAGTTTCAACCTCAGCTCATTGAACCTTTTCACTGCCAAAGCCTTGGTGCCGAAGTCTGCTGTGTTGTCTTGGCTTGGCACAGCATGCAAGCTGAACAGCTTTCGATGCAAAGCATCTTGCACCCACAATGACTTCACTTCGAGGTGTCGAATCCTCCCAACTCCCTGGCGCTGGAACACGCCACGGGCTGCGCTGCTGTCAAGGTAGACCTCCATCTGGAGCGGGAAGCCGATGAAGGCAAACACTTCCTTCATGAACAATCCCTCACTGCAGGCAGCCACGCCACCATTGAACTCAGCTTCGCCAGACGACAGGCAAAGCATCTGGAGGCTCCTGGCGTAGCTGAACAGCAAACAGCCGCCAACCTCAAACATCGCACAGGCACAACTCTTCCGGGTCTTCTTGCAGTTTGCCCAGTCTGTGTCTGAATGCACCTTCAGAATCTCGACTTCACCATCCTTGGGCAACCACACGCCATAGTCCTTTGTGCCCTGCAAGTAGCGTGCCAAACGATGCAGCTTGTGAAGGCTTCCATCTGTAGGCTCCTTCATGTCCTTGGTCAGCTCGCGAACAGCGAACTGTACATCTGTCCTGTCGTAGGAGAGGTACAGAGCAATGCCAACCCCTGCCCTGTAGATCCTCAAGCTCTCCCCACTCAACTTGTTGCCCTCCTTGACCTCCGAGCACAGGTATGGTGTTGGAGCCGGATTGCACTCTTCCAAACCCAACATCTTCAACAAGTCACTGATGTACTTCCCACGGGGTGTCAGGAAGATGCCGCCATCCATGACCTCACGAGTCCTCTTGAGGTGCGTCCACTTTTCTCCCACGCTGTTCTCATGGATCTGACTCTTCATCTTGATCTTCTCATGGAGCTTCTTCTCCAACTCCAGCAAAGCTGCTCTTGGTCCGGTGGCATAGAAGTCGTCCATATGCACTTCCATCAACACGCCACTGGCCGGATTGTAGAACATCCAGGGTGCTGCTGGGTTCCTCTTGAAGTCAATCTCCTTGAGATGCCCAGCTGCCCATTCCACAAAGGCCTGGCCAGCGATGCGTCTGCCATACCACTCAGTGTTGAGCTTCCAGACCACGCGATCAGGTAGATCGACTCCGCTATCTGCCATCTTCTTCAACCACTCCCTGGGAGGCTTCATGTAGGCTTCTTCTGCAATTGGCACCTGCCAGAATGCATTCTCCGCATCAGCTGTCAAGAAGCTGTAGCCCATCTTGATGCCCACAATGTCAATGACCCTTGACGTTGAGGTACTGGATGCCACCGCAAACACATCAGTGCGCGGGTCTCCCCGCTTGAACTCTCTCACACAGTACCTGCACCTCACCGAGCCATCTGGCTTCCGGGTTCTGACCCAGACAGCATCCAGGATCTTCATGCCATCCTTCTGCTCCACAGGGTCATAGGTCTGGTACTTGTCCATCTTGCGGAATTCCTCTGCATCACCTTCATCCATTTCTTGCCTGCTCAAAGGCTTGCTCTCCTCATTGTCTGAGTCCTCATAGGCCTGGTCCACGTCATCCTCGCACACAATGGTGTCTTCTGTTGGCGAATACAATGCACCCACAAAGATTCCAGCCACGCGAGCTCTCTTGGCCTCTGGAGTCATCTCACCAGACTCTCCTGCCCACGCCCGTCTTGCAGACATGCCCAAATCCATAGGTGCTGCCTCATCACCGCCCACATCAGCCGTAGGTCTTGACGCCGACGAAGGACCTGATTGTACAGGAAAGTCTCCCTCGTCCTCCTCTTGGATGACCTCCCCACTCGGCTCCAGCCTGGGGCTCTTCTTGGCCGCCTCTTCGGTCGGGATCAGGTTTAGAGTCTGAGGCAAGGCGATGTCGGCCTTCCTCTTTGGCCTGCCAATGGTTGTGCCCATGTCCCACGGCACACCGATCATCTTCTCCATCAACTCTCTGTTGTAGCGCCTGCTGCTGTCAGCTAATCTGCGCACACTCCTGGCAGTCACTGTCCCATCTTCAGTTCCCAGCAGATACTCATTACTGGTCACACTTCTCCCAAGGAAGATGCCCTGACGCCATGCCGTCTCCCCTTTGGGCACCACTGCCCTGTTGTGGGATCTTCTGGCCTTACTCATAGGGATCTTGAAGAGCACAGTCTCACCAAAGGGCACCAACTGCGAGGTGTATGCCGTGTCGAAGGCATCCTGATATGCTGTCCTTTGGTTACCCTTGACGCTGAACCTGCTTTTGATGAATGAACACCACCTCACCAGCCATGGCCACAGGTTGTGAGAGGTGTGGAGCGTGATGCCATAGCTAGCTTCTGTCTGGTACCTGAAGGTCAAGACATCACCACGGAGCAACTTCTGGAATGCTCCCATTGTTCCAAGGCTCTGAGATGAATACCTTGGCACTTCCTCAAATTGTATCTTGAGTCCTTCAGCTCCTGGAGCTTTCCCTTCTCGCAAAGCACCAGCTATCTTGGCAACGATCTTCTTGATCACAGGCTCATTGTCGCTTCGGAGCTTCACCTGCATGTAGCCCAGCTGTGCTATGAAGGATGTCACGGTCTTGATCACATAGGGTGTCTCCAGGTTCTTGCCAGGAATGGACATTGCCAGGGCCATCCCGGTGCCACTATCCACGATGGAGAGGATCGTGTCTGAGCTCTCCTCAAACCGCTCTGCAATGGATGTATCCGTCTTGAGAAAGCTATAGTCCAGCTCGAAGTGGTTCTCGGCCAACTTCTGCTCCATTGTCCTGCGTCGATGAGGATCATCCATTGCATGGCCTCTGGTGCAAAACTCACACCAAGGTGCTGGCGGCAGATGTGTGATCAGGTGCCGTTCAACTTCCTCCGTGTCCGGCTTCTGAGGTACCGGCACATAGGAGACATCAGGTTCCCTGCCCTCACGCAAGGCTTGCTGTCGGGCAGAGTTTCTCTCAACATAGTCTCGTGCCCGTGCCCTCCTGATCGACAAAGCTCTTTCTGCAGCCTGCAACCTCTTCCACAGGGTGTGCTTGTCACCATAGATAGGCTCCTTGAGATCTCGGAGTCTCGCTCTCATATCCTCCACCTTGCTCCATCCGTGTAGCCGTGGACGGTCTGCTCGAGCATGGGCCTCATCCTCTGCAAACTCAGGTGGGATGGGAACCATCTCAATCCCTTCTCCCTCATCTTCGATGCCTGCATACTCCCACTCATATTCCTCTCCTTGACCTGCCACAGGTGCCACCACACCAGTGTTCACCGTGAAGTCCATGGGGATCGTCTCATCGTCCCGCACCTTGACATAGTAGGAGTTGCAGTGGAGATACAGAGGAATCTTGAAGTCCAGCTGAGGGTGTGTGAGGAAAGGCTTCATGGGATTCCTCATGTCAGCTGCAAAGCCATTCCTACTCATCTTCCCAGCACTCAGGACATCCTTACTGGCTTGCTCACTGACCTTGAACTCCGTGACCGCATTCAGGAACTTGTTGTCCTCGCCAATGATCTTGTAGTTCACCTTCTTCTTGCCAAGTCGTCCAAGGCACTGTCCTGAAATGCCCATCAGTTTCACCTCACTCTCCTCAGTGTGGCGATTGCCGCCAAAGCTAGGCCGACATAGGTGCTCATCACTACCTGAATCCCACAGGAGGTACTTGATCTCCTTGTCAGGCGACTGGGATGCCAGCAAATGCCAGTCCGATGGCTGCTTGCTTCGGTGAATCATCATCACCCACATCTCATCTGAGTACTCATCCTCGATGTCAAAGACGTCCTCGGCGTCTGCCCAGTTCACACGCTCTCCATCACCAGGCAGCCAGTAGTACACTGCATTGGTGCTCTGTCCACCACCGGGGGATGCAGATCCAGTTGCCGATGACGATGCCGCTGTGATGGCATTGGTGCTGCCACCCTTTCCTTTTCCCTCACGCTTGGCCTTGTCTTTGGCCAGCAAGCGGCAATCAGCTTTCTTATGCCCCCATTTTCCGCAGTAGGAGCACTCACCGTTGAACTTCTTTGGAGGAGGTGGCTTTCCCTTCTTGTCGAACTTACCACCCTTGTTGACTCCTTTGTCATTCTTTGACTTGCCGCCCTTCTTGCCCTTGTCAAAGGACACTGCACCGACATCCATGGGTGCTGCTCCACCATCGTCTTTGCCCAACTCGCCCTTGGCGTTGTAGTATTGCCCTGCTTGAAGGAAATCTCGCACAAACTTCTTTGCTCGCTCATAGTTAGTCCCAACTTGAGCTCCAGCAGTCCTCAAGGCTGACCTCAGTGACATGGGCGCATGCTTCATGAGGACCGCAATCTTTGTGGAGTCCGAGACATGCTCCTTGGCTTGGATCTCATAGCGCCTCGTCAGCACTTCCCAACTCTCCAGGGATTCCAGGAAATCATTCTCCTTGACAGTCTCCCATGCCGGGGCGATGATGCTCATCAGCATGGCTGTATGTCTTCCTCCAACGTCGGGCTCATAGGCCTCACAGAGGGCCTTCCAAGCCTGGAAGCCATTTCCATTCTCCACATTCATCAACACCTGTAGGGCTCTGCCATCAACGCTCTGGGTGAGGAGGTTGAACAGGATGATGGCTTTCTCCTGGGCGTGCTGCCCCATATCACTCAGGATCAGGTCGCTGTACCGGTTGGCATTCTCTGCAGCCTGGATGAGGGCCTGGTAGCTTGTATCCAGCAAGTTGAGGTACCCTCTCGCCACGAAGACCCAGGCTGCCCATTCTTCTTCTTTGCCTGAAAAGCTTTTCAACTTGCCAATGGCTCTGGTGTCAATGAGACCACTGGCGCCAACCTGCTGAGCTGGAAGGGCTGGCTGAGCTTGCTGCTGCTGAGCTTGTTGTTGAGGTAGAAGACCTGCTTCAGCTGCCGCTGCCAGGGAATCGCCGAGCGAAAATGCACCTGGCGGGGTGAGCGGCGCAGCATTCGAAGCCATGGGCGCTGCTTGACACCTCCACTCGGGGAGGAATTACACCGAGCCCACACCACAACGTGGATTTACAGGGTGTCCGCCACGCAGGCGCCCGAGCGCGGGTCTTACCCTGTCTAACAGGGGACCCGGAGCAGGAGCTCACCCTGCTCCGCTACCATGCAAGCGGGTAGCGCGCCTTTTCCAGCCTAAAAGGGGCTATGTTCGTGAACAAGTTCAAGCTGTACATGATGCATATAAAGCCTTGCAGGATCCCTATTTTCCCACACAAAAAGGGAAGAAACTAGCAGACCAAAACGGATTCTTACATGCTCATGGCTCAAAAATGCAACCCCCCAAACTCACTATTTATAAAGTTTAAAGGAAAGCTTGTCTACAACCTGTCAGTTCCTGGGTCATTCTGGTGAGCCACATTCCGACATGGTTTCCCAATCAGTTCCAGGCTGTTCGATGGTTTTCTTCCGAAGATGGGGGTCTTCCGGGATCCAGAGGCATTCGGTGGCATGAGGCATTCGGTAGGATTGGTGATGTGAGGATCTAGTGGGCTCGTGAGGATCCATAGGCTCATGAGGATCTAGTAGTTGAATCCATGTGGGATTCATGCAATATGATGTACTTACTGTAAATGCCATAGGATGCTTAGGCAAGTTGGTGTCATGTAGGTCCTTGTTTTGAAGCCACTGTGTAGAATTGACACTCTAGCTGTGACAAACCCGTGCGTTTCTATTGTATAATGATCTGATCTTCTGTCTGGCTCGCATTATATGAATGCATAATATATACGCGTCTAGAACACCACGGCCACCACGGGTTTGACAAACCATTCAACTATCCAAGAAATTCAAATTACCTTGATCAGTGTGGGAGCATTGCCTAGAAATGAGTAGGTGTGCATACACCACTGAACACCAAAACAAAAAGGGTGCCCAACAGTAGGTCTCCCCATCTCACGGGTGAGACCGATTGCCCCGGAGCTTCAGCATTGGTTCTCTCTCCTTGTGCACTCCCATCCGTCCACCCCTCCGTCCAGTCGCCTGTCTGTCAGCTCGATGAAGGCATCGCACAAGTGCCTCAACCCAGTGCCGTGGCGCTTGTAGCGAAGAACATGGAGAGGCCACGCGAAGAAACCAGGGGCAAATCAGCTTTTGGATGCTTTTAAAACTTTTAGATCTTTGATCTTTTAGTGTGTTTTGTTTGGAACCGTTTTTAGCAGTGCAACATCTGGCGCGGACACATCTGGCGACTCCAAGTCGGCTTTCGCCCGCCTCTTAGCCGGGTTAGCCATTCCCCCCTCCACTGTCAAGCACCGAGGGTCTGGTTTTTCAAGACTGTCAAGCACCAGAAGGTAAATGTTGACCGAATGTATGCCCCCTAATGGACCTGCTTGACTTCAGGCCTGCAGGGTCCCTGCGAGCACAAGAAAATGCTCCATGAATCTGAATAAGGATCTCTACTCCAGCAAGGATGCTTCAGGTCCCAAAGTTATGTGCCCCAAGGAGGAATGATTTATGTTGACTCATAAATGATTGCACTTTGCTCTTGTATTCTAAACCCGAATACGTGCCAAGTGTCTGTTGTTTCATGTTGTTTCTGTGCACCCCAATTCCTGCTTTCACAGAAACACATTTTAGTTTTCTGAGTGAATTCCGCGACTTGAAGACATAGTATGACCTAGAGGACGCAGGAGATTCTCCATTGCCGATCCCACTGAAAACCCACAACTGGGACCTCAACAAAAGGCAACAACACCCGTCCTGGTACAGAATCTTTGCGCGTCAGTTCTTTGATCAATCGGCCCATGTAGGTCTATGGCATCCCGCTACCCAGATCGCGCCTAGTCAAACGCTCAAGTGCACTCCTCAGCGAGAGACTGGATGAAACGCGACAAAAGTGGCTTGGTACGACACTTGATACGACGCGGCAAATGTGATCGCGGCAAAGTGCTTATTCGCTTCAACTTCGGAGCCAACATTCTTTAGCAGTATGTCTTGTTCAGAGAAACACACTGGTGGGCCAACCAAACTCCGGTTTGTAGCAACATCCTTAAAGTTTAGATCTGCTTTTGCAGTGTTCAGTACCCCGTGGCTCACACACTGATGGTCACTTAAGCCAACGGCGGGGGGGGGCTCTCTCTGATCTGCCATGCCACGCTCGTGCCAGCGCGGTTTCTTGACACCGGACATCTTCGCCCTTCTCTAGAGTGTGGCTCGCGACCTATGCAAAGGTTGGTCCAGAACAGTCTGGAGGGGATTTGGATCGGCTCAACAGTCTGGTTCATTTCTCTACTTCGTCTCTCAAGTACGGGCAGCCGATATATGCATGGGTCATGCTGGCTCCTAAGAATTCCCTTGACGCAAATAGGGTTGGACTCCGAACGTCTAGGTCATGCACCGGTCATGCTGTGTGATCCCACACCACTCGATGTACAAGCGCAAGTACCGTGAAACCACTTGTACGGAAGCCAGTCCATGTGGGATGTTTGTGCTCAAGAAGCTGTACCTCGGTACCTCGCTAGCGTCCATGCCAAAATCTAATCTATATAACCCTTTCCAGTTCCCTCTCCAACAGCTTACCAACAGGTTGTCTAATGTCTTGGCCTGTGGTGATGAGATACTTTACCCATGAGCATATATGGGAAAGAGATATCCTTGCCTGTTTCAAGTGGGGCTCCCTTTCCTGCCTGCACTGGTTTCTCATCTCTTTGAATTGTCAATTCAAAGCATCGGCGTAGAATCACTTCCTCGGCTTTCTTGACGACGCCGTGCGCCGTGCGCCGTACGGCCGTACGGCGCACGGCGTAGAGAGCTGCTTTCGGAGTTCGCAGGTCCGAGAGGTGTCCTATATATAGATCAAATACTACTAGTAGCGGACACCTTGTATTAGAGGATGACTTCAATGGGATCAAATAGTATGCGGGAAGCCTGTTTCAATGACTTGACAATCTTGGTCCCACATGGAGTGTGGGTGGCAAGCGCCAGGGGTAATTACGCATAACGTTCATTCGTCAAGCTTCCAACATCGGAGGTGTGTGCGACGCCTGTTGTCTCAAGTGTTGAGAGTCGACTTTTACATACAAAGAACTGTGAGGACTGCACTAACTCCCTATGCAGTGTTCTCCATCTTTGATCACTTGATCATTCAGAACTTGTCAATCTTCAGGTGGACTGAACGTAACGTTCATCTCAATAGGGTTCATAAACATATGATTTGCACCTCTGCCAATAGCTGGAGTTCCGTCCTCAAACTGAATGTTCATTCGGTGCAAAAAGAAGTTCATAGGGTGCAAATGCAAGCAAACCTCTACAGTGTGCTCCATCCACTTCTCCTGTATGTCACGAAGGGGTTGTTGCATCCCCGTTTCCCTGCGGCTACATTTCACGTCTGTGTCCTCTCTGTATATGCATTCCTGACACAGTGACAGCGAATATTTGTATAATGTGTACATTTCTAATAAGCATCTATACTGTAACTAGATGTAACTAGTAACTAAAATATACGGTGCACATTGCACACATGGCACAGTGAGCACCCAACAGCACCGCATAATCAAATTGCGGCGTCATATAAAAAGTGTTTAAAAAAAACTGCAAACCCAGATCATATCCACTGTATAAAAAACATCCATATAAATACTCTTCACCTGCAGGCTTCCGAACTCTTAAACTTAGACTCTGACCGCCTTTCACTTCAATAGTTGAATGAATGACAATGAGCAATATGGCAAAAAGAAAACTACTGCTCAAATAGTAATATATATATATATATGTTAATCATTATATGCACTATAATCTAAACCATCCCTCTGCAGCACCAAGAGTCTCTTTGGTGCACAATGACCTGGGCCTCAATCACTCACGATGCTCAAGTGCATAAGAGTGAATGCGTTTAAAGGGTGGAACTTTAGTCTTGGATACGGTCACTTGCTCCTGAAGCTCGCGCTTTCCAAGACGCCATATATTATTACTATTACTCTGGTTGATTGATTTGTTTTGGGGAGCATAAGGAGGTTTGCCAAATACCACTGGTAGTAGACCCACAAATGAACAGTGGTTTCAACAAATGATGCAAAGGCTGCAAGATGTTTCAAGCTTCTTTCAACAAACTGCCAACAAAAAGCAATGATAAATCCAAGGATGTTCCAACTAGTTTCAATAAAAAACCTTGAGCAAAGTCAATACCTGAAAGATAAGTCTTTGTGTTTGAAAAGAACCCCCTTCCCTTTCAGCACATTCAACACATGACATGTTCGGTGACCTATTTTAGCAGTTGCATGGGGTGATCCACCAAACTTAGAACAACAATGTGAAGGCTTCTTCATAGATTTATGATACCAAACCCACCCAACAAAATCTCTGGACTTGGTGTTTGTCAAGCTGAACGATTTCCACTGGGTGTCCAAAACATCTGACGAATGAACGAGTGCGGATAGCGCGGTTGGGGTATGCATTAGCATCAAAATAGATAGGCCAGCTCCCTTTTGTACGTTACCAATACTAATATGATCAGTGAGGAATGTCAAGGTGAACAAGAAAATGATTGTCCTTTGTTTTTTGCCCTGAACAAAACATTTGAGTAGGACAGCAGGACTCAAAAGGGTTGGACGCACACACCGTGGTTATATATGATCTCTTCCACGAATCCAAACCAGAGCAGTGAATCACATTTCAGCGTGTGTTGGAAGTTCGGTGCTGAGGGGCTGGCTTATTCACTGGAAAACGATACCGGCAGAACAAATGGTTGTGGTGGGAGACGTCAATGATTCTTCCAAGCAGCAATGACAGCAGCACATAGGACCACCAAACATTGCCTGGGCGGGCTTCCCGTCTCCAAAATTAATTGCCCCTTCATCCGTTCATTGCCCCCATTGCAATCTGCAACACACCCAAAACTCACGTTCACCAGGCTTTGCTTGCGCAGTCGTATTCTTCCAGCTAACTAATCTTCCCACCCATTCAGTACAGCCTTCACAGTGTTGATCACCCAGCGGCAAGTGAAATTGATTGCGAAACATCCAACGGTGAACGCAATGACAAACGAACGACTCTGCCATGTGTCCAGCCATCATACCAACTGCGAAATGCAATCGCTGCAGCCACACAGGAAGCAATAGCTGAACCCGCCACATATCGAAACCTTCCAGGGAAGGTCTGGTCTCTCCACTTTGAGAGTAAAGTCGGGTCTTGGCACTTTTACATACTACCTGAAAACCCTCAAGCCACGCTCTGCCCTTGCCATGGTCTCAGTTGTCTGTGACAATTTGTGTGCTCGTACTCGTTTTCAAAGGTTCACAGAAACTACTCTTGGCCAGCACACAGGATGGGTGGCTTATAGACCTGGCTATGTATGGTCCATCCAATACTGTAACCACCCAAACTGGGTGCTGCTGGAGTATAGGCGTTTTGTATAGATGCTGGGATGTCAAAGAATCCAAAGAACCACCCAAACCAACACTGTGTCCTCGAAGTCACACAGTCACGATGATCCGATGTACAGTGTACGTTGGTGGGTGCAGAAGTTGAGCCATGAAAGAATAAGGCCAAAAATGGAAAATACTTGTCTCTTGTTTTTCTTCATTGACGGTCTATGCTACACGGACGTATATGTTTTGTCAAGTGTTATTCAAAAGCCATATATGAGGTGCTCTTTAGTGTTCATACCTCAAAGAATCTTGAGAGCGGCAACATAATAATCTCTCAAAATCAAGCTGGGCAATCACCTGGCTGGTGGAAGAGAAGAAAACTGTTGTTTTCAAGGAAACCGGGTTTTGGGCTGGAAGGCTTCTCTGAACCGGGTTTTGAGATTGTAACCGTTTTCTTAAGGTTATGGATTCCCAAGGTAGAAAGTGGATATCTTTCAATACCGCTGCACTCTGTTGCGCAAATACTTTAAGATTCCTGGATGTTTGGGCCACTGAAATGATCCCCTTTGAGTTCCAGGTCGCGCCCGGAAACGGTGCCGGGCTCTGATGTTCGGTCGCGTGAGGTTCGCAGAGGTCGCCAACAAGGATCCCAAAGCGTGCCATGCATGGAATATACAAGCAAATTGTGTGACCCATCAGATGACTATTCCATGGACTGATTGAAGTTTCGAAACTCCATATTTTTTTTTGTCCAAACCCAAACCCCGTGAATCATGAATTCGGTCAAGTAAATACACGACATGATCCTCCTCACTCCCGACTCCTCTCAGTCTACTACCCGAATCCCTCATGATTCGACTGCTCGACTCGACTCGTGGACGTTGCACCTGGAGAGCCTCACGGGCAGCAAGGCACATGACAGCAACAAGCAGCTGGGCACCAAAGAGGCGCCCAAAACTTCCTGCGCCGACGAACGCCACGGTGTCAAACGGGCAGGCGGTGCCGCACTTTCGGGGTTCGGAGTCACGAGTGCTCCGTAAATTGCCAAGTATTGCCAATGAATAATAGGATGAAAATGGGCCTGGTGCCCTCAACGCAGTTCTTCGTCTAATCCAAGTCATGTAGTCGGGGTTGAAACATGTTGAAACCACCTTGACAAGGCCAGGGCGTATAGCTTCGGCGCGTGGAATCCAATTGACTCCCAAGTGCGCTTCATCGCAAAGCGGCGTCCGCAGAAAAACTCGCCTGCACAATGTATAGCACTTAATGTAGACTCTTGACCCTTGATTAAGAACCCCCCATATGTGAAGATGCGTTCAGTTCAAGTGTGTGCGCGGGGCATTTAGCAAGAGTCTACAGACCCGCAGTGTCTCGCCTCATTGGCGTACTCTGCACCGCTTTGCCATATTAAGCCGGAACCATTCAACTTGCCCGTCCTCAATCTGCACGTCGTCACGCCCGGATCCTCGATTTTCGAGAACAACCTGAGGATGACGACGCATCGGCACCGTGGAGTGCTCGTCCTTGTGTATTCCAGGGGCAGTAGGTGGAAATGATAGACTGTAAGAACAAACATGGGGATACAAGAATACTGTATATACTAGTAGTCAAATTACTCAACAGGTTTAATGTAAAAGTAATTTACTTCGAGTGCTCCCCACAATGACATTTCAATCATTTGTATTGCGTGTCGTGTGATTGTGGTTATGTTGTGAGTTGAATTGTGTTGAGGACTAGTGCCCGCTTGCTGTTGAGGTCCGGTATAGTGCCCACTGCGATCTCGCACTTGCCGTTGAGGTCCGGCAGTGCCCATTGCGATCTGGCACTTGCAGTTGAGGTGCGGTAGTCAAGGAGGAGAGGAGGAGGAGGAAGAGGACAGGAGAAGAAAAGCTGTACTAAAATCTAACTACCCTCACCTGGCAGGTGGGGAAACATATGAGAGGGGAGCGCCGGCTCCCCCTAATATATATCCAGAACGGCAGGCCCTGGAAGTGCACTTTTTCACCTATTTTGAGTGATCTGGAGGTGCATTTTTTCGTTAATTTCAAGGATCTACTGAGATTAATTCACAGCACCAATACCACCAACGACATCTCAACTGCTGTACTCTGAAAAATGCATAGGACCTGAACAATGCATAGGACTATTAATGTTGAATCTTGTGGATGGTAAATTATGAATAATCTCAGACTCACCTATATCACCATCAAAATCTTCACCATCATTAACATTAGGCTTACTAAATAATGCTTCCGATCTTATGTTGAGTTTCATATTATGATTATTTTAAAGACATTCTATAAGTAATGATTGTTGATGTTGTATCATTGATAAGCCTTGTTCTCCTTTGAAGCGCTTGTTTATGAGCTTAAGATTATCGGCATATTTGTTTAAAAGCTGATTTTCTTTTTTCTACCCTAGCTGAACTTTTTTTTGATAGCATATTTGGTTAGGGCTTTCTTCATGCCCCAAATAAATTATCTTATGGTCGTAACTTCAATATTCATTAGTTTTCTTCACTGATTCATTGTTCAATCTGCTTGAGATATCTTTGTTTTTGTTATATCTGAATGTTTGATTGCCAATAACTATTGATTTTAGTTCTTTGTTGCCCTTTTCTGGTATTTCTGCTTTATCAGTTTTAAGCAAATAATATAGACTTTTTCATAATATACTACTATGTATGTTATACATTAACTGCTCTTTACGTATGTATTCAATAAATTTATAATCAAAGATATATTAATTTGTACTATTAGGTGATTTTAGGAATTCTTGGGATACCAATATATTAATATTCAATGAGTATACATGGGGAAATACTTGTGTTAAGCCAAAACTAGCAGATCAAGGCAAACATGTCAGATAACTTAGTAGAGCTCAAAAATTGGTGAAACAGTGCACTTCCACAGCCTGCCGGACTCTATATATATATATATACATGCTGTGTGCATTCATTCATAATCTATGATAATTATACTGTATACTTATCCTGCAGAAACACAAAAGGACTTCCCCCAAGGTGTTCCGCTGTGGAATCACTATTAGTATCTATTAGGTGTGCCATTCTCCAGATTTACCAAAGCATATCGACGGTCACGTGAGTGACTGACCGCCTATAAAAAAACAGTAGTAGAAGTTTCGGGGCTGAACATTTTCCTTCACATGGATGTACTCAGGGCAGGGAAACCTTCGAAAAGGCATTAGAGAAAGGAAACATGAACACCCATATCATAACTGGCAAACATGTCATCCAGCTATGGACAATCCCCACAACAATTGCCAAGACGCCATCAACGAACTGCCTCGGAAGTAAACAGGCAGGAAACGGGCTCGGACTTTGGGCAAGTAAGGGTCATGTTGTGAAACAACTTTTTAGAAAAAATAATTGGTCGGATTGGTATGGACCAGTGTTTTGATCCTCACTGATATCAAACCAAGGAATATTATAAACTATAAACGCTATAAATAATTGGATCGATATGCCATAATGGATCGAGCGGTGACAAAGTCCATACTTTGGCCTTTTCCTCGGTGCTGTTTTCTACATTCGCACCGAAGGAAAGTACAGTGATTGAATCAATGCTTCCCACCCCTCGTAGACGTCCCAGAGCGTGCAAGTCCAAAATGAGCTGGCCGTCCAGTTTCTCGGAAGCAGTCTCGGGGCTGGCAAAAGCACATGTGCTAACCAATTTCGCTCAAATGTTTTTTGCACAAATACTAGTACCGTCCAAACATGTCCAAACGCTTTGCTGGAGCTCTATTGAATTGAACTTCATCAACTATATATGGGCTGGGGATGGGCTGTCTACGCCGTCGGAAACGCAGCACGGCGGTGGGTCGGACACGTCGCAAGAACTTGGTTCACGTTGATCACCCACATGGCTTTGTAGGGAAATATCAGGGGCTTTGTGCGATTGATTCACTTGTAGTGGGTGGTCAGTTTCTGCGGTCCGCTATCTGGATTCATGTCTCACCACAGTGACCCGACCAAACCCCGCCACACCCGACCCAGCGCAGGCCATGAGGTTTCACCGTGTTGCTGTGTGGCAGAAGCGAGAGCTGCGGCGTGGCCAGGCACATGATGCCGGACGCCAGCACCTCGGCCAGGGCGACGGAAGAGTCATTCCGGCGGTGCAAGTGGAGTGTTATACATTACATGTCCAATTGTCTTTAATGAGAACAGGTAGGCTCATCAAAGGTGGGTTCATCAAACCAGGCAACAAATAACACGTATATTATGACTGATCCAAGAAGAATCCTGTCATATCCTATCCTGGTATCTAGTTGGGTTGTATGACTGATCCACGCCTCTTCAGTTGAATTGGTGCGCAAATGGTCTCTCCCGGTGATTACTGTTTGTTTTTGATAAAGCCCGCGGAGCGGTGAGTTGTTTCGTTTCGACCACTTGAGAGTTGGGCTGATTCGACCAAGTTGTGTTGGGGCACAGGCTTTCCCAAGGAGCGCTAAGCGGCTCATGCAGGCTAATTCTCCGCTTTTCAGACCCCAACTGGCACAGAAAAGGCACAGCGAAGACCTCCGCACCTAAAGGCCCAGTGCCGCAGCGGCAGAGAAAAGCAATGATTGCCCAAAAGACCTGAAGGCCAGGTGCATCTCTACAAACGATTGGGTTTCATCTGACGAAGAAGGCGGGGATCTCCATAGCTAGGCTAAGGTGTTCTGAATTCTCCATTGGGAAAAGCAGGAAAAAAGGCATTAGCTATCTCAATTTGAGTAAAGGGTACCTTTGGGATTGCCTCGAGAGGAGCCCAACCAATTCTATTTCATACTTCAGTGTGCATATGACGAGGTACCTCAGGGATAGCAAATGGAAGAGTCTGTCAGTTTGGAAGCAACAAAGTTGCTACATTTCGCGAACTCAGAAGTATTCGCTGATAGAACCCTCACAGCGAAGTGATGTGGAAAAAACACTCACGAGTGCCACTCTGCTTCAACTTTGGGGAGTTTGGCGAACAGTTCTCAGACTCCGGCAGTCGTGATTGCTGTGGTGGTTGTGATTTTCATCTGTACCACGTTTGAGCACCTTTGAGCGTTCAAGTTATATTAGACATCCTTCTGAGAACCATATGAGTGAAAGAAACAAGGACTTGTCTCGATCCAGTAATTGGGTTTGGGGGACTATATGGACGCCTTGCTGCTTGACGTCATCTCCAAAGGATCGTGGTCTGCCAAGATATATAGAATGTCTTGAGGTCTACAAGATCTACAAGCCCCTTTCGTGCCTTTCCATAAGCACTGCTCGCTTGATAAAGGTCAACAAAGACCAGTTTTGAAAACCGTTGAAGCGTTAGCGACCCAATCCGTTTGATGCTTGACAACCAGTGCTATGTTGCTGTGCAACACAACACTACCTGCCTTAGTAAAAGCAAACAAAATCATCTTTGCATGTCAACTCTGCGATGCAATCGCAATGGTGCTTTGGCAGTCGCAACATGTGATTAGACTGGATAGGACACTCAACATCTATCTTCTGGGGTGATCAAAGAGCGATGTAACTTTGCACCGTGTTCCACCTAAAACACTCTCTCTTCTGTCTTTTTCGAGATGGCAAGGCCTGGCTTCAACGCTCAACACACGAAACATGTGGCTCGCCAAGCATCCGGGAGCGTGACTTGTCCAACCTGCTCCGCAGGGGACAAATCCTCCAGTAAGGACAGTGCAATGGCACTCAATGCCTTGAGGCGCCCGGTTCTGGGCGACCGCTGACGTTGAGCGAGTGCTAAGAACCACTCACTCCGACCCCAAAAATAACACCCAACTGAACGGATTGGAAAGGTGTGATCGGCGATGCCACGTCGGACAGCCTGGACAGCGTGGGATGTCATCCATCGACGTCTCCGTTCATCCATGGAACACTATGTCACTATGTGTCATTGGGTGTGCTTTTGGTTGAAGCCAGGTACCCCGGGTGTACATTGATGCTGTGTTTTTTCTTTTTTGATGCTCTACACCAAATGCATCTGCCCACATGTTTTTGTGCCAGCATATGGTGGACACATCATGTTGAGTCTGATGTCCATGACATCGATGATGTATTCTACCAGTTGGCGAACGAATCTGGATAAATATTATGTGCGTGTAGTCCCTCGCAAACATTCGCAAACAACAGCAAACGACCAAGAGGCTTCGAGGTCCGTGCCGGTCTAAATGGCGGGTGCATGTTCTTTGATTCCCCCACCCTGCTGCACACACACCCCACTCATGACCGCCGAGATGCAGCTTGCATTATACACCAAAATGTAGCCAGAAAGGATAAACTAGACATGATCTCCACCTCGCGCCATTTCAGGAATTTGGTCCTGAGTTGTCACGCTGAACTTGATGAGGGATCAATTAGGGAGTCCGCCCTTGGTACGAAAGCTGACCTCAATTGGTCGATGTCCTCGATGTCCTGTGTATGCTGAGGAAGTGGGATGCAATATCAACAATATCAACAGTTGTGGTACACAATTAGAGGGAATGGACAATAGATGTCGTTCCTGCCGATGTCGTTCCTGGATGATACAGTTGGTTCACTTGACTTCACCACCCTGGTTTTGGCCGACCGTCGTGCCCCATTCCTGCCGCGGCAGACCTGCGTCGTTGGGACGGTTCCTGGGGGCCGTGAGATTGGTCCGTTGGGACTCCTCGGTCGACTCTTCGATGTCAGAATTCTCTCAGAAAAAGGCCGCACGACGTTCGGTCGCCTTCATGGTCCCGCAACTTCTCGCGATGAAAGCAAAGGCCTCCAAGTTCTGAGCTCAATCAAATCACCGACTGTCACACAGAAAGAACACAACTATACGGTCTATATGAGTTTGGGTGTCTCGAACACAAGCCAAACGCAAGTTGCTGACCCTACCTACTGCAAACCAAGCCTGGAGTCTTCGGTCATCAGCTCTCCTATGCTCTCCTCGTGTCTCCAAACATCTGTGACTCAGCACGGACACCGCAGCTCTCCTGTCTCCATCCCCTCCGATCCGCTCAAAACCCGATGAAACAAGGGTCTCAAAGCTCTTGTTGCTCGTCCTTCCTCAACCCGCGGAAGGTGTCCGACAGGACGGTGGGTGGTTGATAGACAGGGCTTTCTCGGTCCAAGCCACGTGCCACACGAATCCAGAATCCCGAGATAAGTATGACTATAGTGGGAACCAGGTGGTTTGTAAAGGAAATGGAGAATGATGGTTCCTACATAGTTTGTATATACTTTTGTATATACGTGTGGCTTTTGAGAAGCTTTCCCTGCTTTCGTAAGGTCACTGTGCTTCTCACATACAACTAATGCAAAACAAACAGATCCAAGTAGGAGTATGTGTTGCTCCGTGACCGCGTGAATCCGTGTGAATCTGTGAGAGATGTCGTTTCTCCATCCATTAATGACATGAGCTTTGTAAAACCCCAAGCAGCTAGTGCTTGTGGACCATCATCCTTACAAACACGACGATCCAGCAAAGACAAACTCCAAGTGGTTGATATAGCTTCACACTCTCTTCATTCCTACACACACACACACACATTTTTTGGTTTTCCTAAGACATGACATGTCAGTGATATATCAGTGATGAATGCTGAACATATGGTCTTTCTAGAGGCACATTGTACGTGTTGGATTGACCCTTGGCCCTCGGCCGCGACCCGAACCTAGGTATGTGTGGATCAAAGCGATTTCAAAAGGTCATTGACTTTACATTATATATGGGGATTGCTTCAGCTGTTTCATATGTCAATACCTGCAGCCCTGGTCCACCATGTACTAGTAGGTTGACCTTCCACGTAGGTCAACCAAGGTATCGTGCGACCCACAGCCAATTCCCATGACCGACCCAGCCACTGCGGCAACGTCCGACACAGGTCATGGGTTCTCGCTGTTGTGAAGTGATCGTTCCTGAAGGGCAGTTTTCTAGGCGAACCGCGACCACGATTGTGTACCATGACCCTCCAACAGGTCTCCTTTGGAGAGTTGTTAGGCCCTGTTCGAGGTCTCAAGTGGTGACCTATGGAATTGCTTGATTCCAAGGCCACGAACAGGAGAGTCCAACCAGGACAGTCCAACCACCACAGAGGTCCGATGAGCGGGTTTTGTGGCTCACTCATCGGGTCTTGAAACGGCGACAAACCCGATGACCACTGCGAGACCAGACCTGAGTTGTACCATGGACCATGTGCAGCCATTCTGTTAGAATTAGAGCAAACTCACAAACGGCTCATCCTCTGTGATCCTGCAAGTCATTCCGGTTCAATAGACTCCTGGAATAATCATGGAAGTGGATGGCATGGCTGCTTGGATGACCATTTTAGCCTACAAACGGGTGGCTTTCCACTTCGGAAGATGGTCATCCAAGGGGCCATCCCATCCACTTCCATGTTATTCCAGGGTTTGTAATGTGGACATTGTTCATGGTGTCTCCTCTGAAGGCCCTGCAAAGTCCTCCTAAAAATGCTCTCAGTATCAATGTTTCGGTGCTCAAACAGCCCTATAATGGGTACGCAGGTCAATGCAAACAATTGCATGTTCACATGGTCTCTGCAAATTTTTGGAAAGAATGCGCATGCGCTAGACGAGGATCTATTCAAAAAAATGCACGACACGACTTAAATTGAATATATGCTATTATCATCCTACCAAAGAATTGTGCGCTTGATGTTGTTTGATGATTTTGAAGACCTGCAACAGGGGCTCGTCCCTCTACAGCCCCTCATCGCCAAAGTCTTCATGGAAGAAACCAAATATGGGAGAACTTGGTGAAAATAGTAGTAACAAGAAGCTATTAGAAACAAGTGCCACGCTAGTAGTAACAGGTGCCACGCTAGTAGTAACAAGAAGCTATTAGAAACAAGTGCCATGCTAGTAGTAACAGGTGCCACCCTAGTAGTAACAAGAAGCTATTAGAAACAAGTGCCACGCTAGTAGTAACAAGAAGCTATTAGAAACAAGTGCCACGCTAGTAGGGTCCAAGAAGCAAGTTCTCCCAATGTCGGACTGGTCCGAACACCACCGGAACGGCATCGGAATGGCATCTGAAGCCCTCACAAGTGGACCAGCCACGAAGTTCAGCTATATTGAGTCTTGGAAGAACCAGGTGCGTGAGTCTTGTCTCGGGTGCGCTGTTCAGCATCAAAAGATGGGAGTCCCAGAAAAGTGAGGTGCGCTCTTCCATGTTCATTAAGCCGAAGTCCCAGAACCTACAAGAGATGTCCCAAGGTCTTAAGGTCTGTCTTCATGGTCTTTTAACCGGGACCGATGGGAGATGGAGGTCCAAGCCCCCGGGAGGGTGGCCCCTTTCCATTCGCCACCCGGGCGGGGGGGGTCGACCCAAGCCGAGTTGGTTCAATCCTCATGTGTACCGTTGCCAACGTGTTCGGTTCAGTTTTCCCGGTGGGCTTTCACCCAAAGCCGTCTCTCGCCCCATTGACGTCACGAAAAAAACGGCGGCGCCTGGTCCGGAAGATGTCAATCCGGTACTGAGAACATGTTCAGCAAGCTGGAGCCAATTGAACTGGACAAACAATGACAAACACACATCATTTGTTGGCATGGCCCCCCCTTTTGAGAATGCTTATCATTCTGGGTCTGACACTATAGACTCTAAGTTGGGAGAAGAATGGTAGTATGACTAGGGGCCAAATCAAATTCCTATTCCGCAACGAAGCTACACCAACAAACGCCTGAAGGCTACACCAACTCTTGCACGCACGAGATGGTTGAGCTGGCAGTGGCAGTTGAGCCGTTGCCGACCTCTTGAAACACCTCATGGAACGGCTGGGTCTAGCAGGTATCATGGCTGGTCCATCACATGACCAACACATAGAAAATGACCAGAAAACATGGCCAACATCACATGGCCAGGATCATTCATGGATTAGCTTGGATTAGCTATATATAATTCATCATTTATCACACATGACCAACATCGCGAGGGTTTCATCCTATAAGCACTTCAGACTTCGGACACACTAATATATTCTGCTGTGGGATCCCACCTTGGATCAAATGCCTATATACTAGAGCAAGCAACCTCAAACCAACTCCACACCCTTTGCTCAACACTGATAGAACCCGAAAAAAAGACATCCGAAACACGTTGCTGCCCCCAAATCATCGTCTCCAAGTTCTTGTCTCTCGCTACCTACCCCCTTTTCTCTGAAAGAAAAGGCTCTGCTCACCTCGTCGACACGAGCAGAAAGAACCGTCGACATCGGCTCGTCGAAGCGAAAGGCTCCGTCGCCACGAAACACGTGGCCGGCTCCGAGTCTCTCGGGTGCGGTCTATCCAACGAGTGCTGTCTTGTCTCGCGTGCTGTCGTGCTTTTTCACCCCAATGAGAAGCTTCAGTGGATCAACAATGGGAAGCTTCAGTGGCGTCAGTGGCAGCCGTCCATGCTTGGTGGCTACAGCAATCCACTGCAATCCGGTGGAAGTGTCCAGTGCAACGGTCCATCCACTTGGGGAAACATATCATCCACGTCATCCACTTGTTACCGGTTCTCAATGAATTCTGGACTGCCTGGCCTCAATTCCGGAGAGTCACAGAAAGATAGTCCGAAAGTCCGAAAGCCCAAGGAACAAATTTATCTTTCTGACTTTGGACTTTGGGACATTTGGGGCATTTTTGGACTTATTGTTTATTCTTTTGGACTTATTTCTGTTTTGGACTTTGGACTTTTCAATTTATGTCCCAATTGGGCATATTCACCGTCCAAGTGGACCAGGCTGTTGAGTGTTTGGTCACGTTTGGTCTTTGGGACATTTTTGGGACACTCCCCAAGAAAAAATACAATGAACTGTTTTTGACAAACAAACACAGCGGTAGGATTGGTTTCAGTTTCATACTAAACTTGCCCCCTGAAATAAATGGCACCCCCGGCATATCCCCCCGGCATATCTGGCAAAGCTACCTTAACATAAACAAACATTCAACCACATCAAACCGGCACATGCCACCTGCTACTCGCTACGACCATCAGTTCTTGGTTCGGTCTTGACCCCATAGCGCCCAGAATGCTTGGGCGAGACACTGGTCATCCCTGCAATCACTTCATCCCTTCAATCCCCATGCAAATGGGAATCTCAAGAACCGAATGGTCAAGAACCGAATGTGTACTGTTTCTTGATTTTCCCACAGACCTGCATTAATCCAAAGCACGAAACCCCCCCTTCTCCTCTTTGGTCTTGAAAAACCATTCCCAGCACCTTCAGCCCGAGAGTACCCAAATCCCTATCGAAGGAAGCTCTCCAGCTCAACGGAACGCGTCCACAAAGGAAACAGTTCAAAATGGTACGGAGCATTTTCAGGATGTGGTTGAAATCCATACCTTCCAGACTCATCTCAGTTGAGAAACCACTTTGGTTGACCGCTTACCTCTGACGAACACTCTACAGCTTGGTGACTGCCACCCAGGGCCAATGGTACCCACTGGTCTGAACGGCGGACTTTGGCCGGCCAAAAGTCCCTCCAATTAGAGGGTCTGACCACGAGGTACCCTACCTACGACGGGGACTTTGGCGACCCAAAAATGATGCAGACGATACTATTGGATCACAATTATATGTGATGCCATGTTATATAATAAATATGTAATTCTCCTGTTAGTCTGGGCAACTGATACTCGTACTCGTACTGTTGCTTCTCCGACGACCACCACCACCACCACCACCATGACGATGATTAGGATGCGAGTGGTGAGTTGTCGAAAGGTAGGGTCTGAACAAATGCAAAACCGATCTTAGGAATCAGGTTAGAGTGCGCAACCCACACCTGTATGCTGATGGAAAACAATGGGACTCCAAGTGTTTTTTTTGGTATACTAAAGTCTTGCTATTGTTCGAAGAGTGTTGCAGCTTCCAATCATCAAAACATCCGCCATGACATCATGTCATGGATTATGAAGTGCTGTCAAATTGGGCCACCAAAAACCTGGTTCCTTGGAAACAATCAGAGTTTGAACTACAATTTTTAGAGACTACATGAGACTACATAGTGACATAGTTGGTTGTCGGAGGGTCAATCGTAATTAGCCATGTATCTTCGGAATGTGTGTATGATTGTGTGCGGTGGATATGTTTCTTCACAGAAACAACTCATAAACGCTTCAAATGATTGTGTGCGGTGGATATGTTTCTTCACAGAAACAACTCATAAACGCTTCAAACAAACTAATTCAGGAGGGTAAAGCGTTGTAGCAAACCCCAAACAAAAAAAACCTGTTCTACTCTCAGTTCTTTCTAAACCATCTCTTGGCCAGCCGGCTGTTCAATGCATTGGTGTCTCGACAGTTACACCACCAGAAATGGAAGTGGTGCTGAGTCTCTGCATCCATTTTCAAGGGTCCGCCTAGGCCGCTGAACTTCAGCCGCCTCACGTTACCCGCCTCACGTGACCGAGAACTTGGTGTTCAGACTGCTCCTGGATGAGCCAAGAAGCCATGAATCTGAAAGTGCCGCGAGCGAAAAAGAAATAAACCCGGCATCACCAATTTTGACAAGCCATGATCGTGTAGCACATCCTGTGACCAGTGGATGATGAAGTTGCAGGCCGACATCTCTAAAATCGTGATGGTTGCTTCCCGACTGTTATTGGTAATGGAACGGACCCAACATATTGAAATAATGATATTTTAACAAATAACTGATAATGGTTGATAATGGTATCCGCCGACCCCACTCAATCATGTTACATACGCATGCTATGTGGGTCCGGAGTGGTCGATGGTTTCATCCCACCCTTCGGGAGGCTGGCGGACTAGCACTGCCGGACTAGCCGCGGACAAGCATGTTCCCAAATGAATCCCCCCTGTCAACTGTCTCCTCTAGCGTTAACCGCGTGCAAAAACAAACACGTTGCCAGATGGTCCCGGGTGCGATTCCCCCCCTCCTCCCCAACCCTCCTCCCAACCCTCTCCGTCTAGTGTTTTGCGATGGAATTTTGGGTGTTTTCAAGTCTTCATGCGTTTTCTAATGTGTTCCTAGGTGTTTTCTGGTCAAATGTTTTCTCGTGTTTATGTAGGGTTTCCCCCTGCCGCTGCCGCTCTAGCATTTATTGTGCACATCTACTGCAAGCGCCCCCATTACCAAAGCCGTGAACTTCTCCTCAAGAAACGGACCAACAGCATCTTTTCTCGCTGCCCCTCGTCACTCATTCTTAAACCTCTTGA